GTTATGTAATTTGTATGAATACAAATAAAACTGCGATTTTAAAAGTCTTATTGCTTTGACTTACGGTCAATTTCGATTTGTTTTAACAATACAGGGTTAATATGACAATAATTTCCGTAGTTTTAATTATTTTTGGGATAAAATATTACCTATACTAAAAATTATATAAATCGATTCTGTTAACGATTCAGAACTAACTATTTTCAGGGTGTGCGTTATTTAAGTTATATGTTGTATATATATAACATACTAGGATTTTCCCGTCACCGATACCGACTTCAAAAAGAAATATGTATGTATGTTTATGCGCGACTATCACGTGATTGGCTAAACCGACTATGATGCGGTTTTTAGAAAAGAGTTTGTAACCATTTTTTTTCGAAGGGGAAAATTATTCTGTGGCTTTTCTCGCCCGGGTGAGGCGAGAGGGCGTGTCAGATTTATATCATATTTTGTATATGTCTGACTGATATATGTATGACATAACCAGTTTTTTTTTAATAGTCGATAACAGATCCAGCTGTTATTCAAAATTTCATTATAGGTAAGATAAGCCATCGGCATAATTCTATACATCAAAAAATGAAATTTACTAATATTAAAAGCCAACAAAGAAATCGCCTTCGAGATTTCCAACCACTTGCTGAATGGGATAGTTTTATAAAGTAAACGCTAGAGTTATTAGTTCCCTTTAATTTCGCGAGCGCTGTCGTCATTCAAAGTTGAGAACACCTGTGACTGTTTCATTAAATGGCTGCCATTGTTCGTCACTTTATTCAAACCTGGCTTCATTATTGTGTGTAATTTAATCTACTATTGTTACCCACAATAGAATAGAAAGACAAATCTTATTCTCTTACTAATATTATAAACTAATGCCCCGCCCCGGCTTTGCACGGGTGCAAAATGCATGCATACATATAAACCTTCCTTAAGAATCACTCTATCCATTAAAAAAACCGCATCAAAATCCGTTACATAGTTTTAAAGATCTAAGCATACATCGTGACACACAGACGGCGGATAGCGACTTTATTTTATACTATGTAGTGATGTGAAAATTTGTGAAATTGTGTGTACCTGTGTGTATATGTCCGTTACTCAACCAGATCGGAACTGCTGAAAGGATCGAGACAAAATTTGGAATTGGGATTGATTTTAGTCAGGAATAACACATAGGCTTTTTTTTAAGGGGGGAAAATCATCGAATGACTGCTCCCGCCTGGGTGAGGCGGGAGGGAGTGTCAGACTCTTACTGACTAAAAACCAACCCTTTCCTTCTCCTGCACGTCGAGCCGGAGCCTCGGTTACCCGTTAGGTTCTCCGCGACATAGGATACTTATTATCCGACAGGAACACAGGTGAAGCCGCGGGCAGAAGCTAGCGAAAAATATACATATGCTCAGTAAATTATATTTTTTTTAGTTCATTTAGTATGTCTTACGATAGTTATTATAAGAACTCAGGAAAGTATTGTAAATTTCGTGAGACATACTAAATAAATTATTATGTTTTCGGCTTACTCTCGTCAAATTATTACGTGAGTAAGCCAATAACATAATAATTAACTCAGGAAATGTTGATAAATGAGACAACAAGACGATTACCAAACCAAACATATTTTTATTTAAATCCAAAGTCGACTAGTGTTGCCCAATTTGTCTGCACTTTACCATTATACGTATCACTGTGCACTAAAAATGTATATGGTAGTGAGCACCGCAATGCGTTTCCCACTGCTGTCGTAGCGTCCACTGGACAAAAATTTATATTTATTTGTTACATCTGCTACCGTTTGCCTAGTTAACACTAAGCCATCGGGTTTTCTCGTTTACTTTCTTTTTCTTTAGATATAAATGTAGTTCATCTTTCAATAGAAGATATTGTCTTTATACTTTCAAACAACTTAAACAGTTTAATTCTGATATTTATTATGGTACCTAACACAAGCTCGTATTCAGGTTCTTCGAGGACCAGCCCATAAACTATTTGGTCACAAAGAACTCCTCAAGGAACCTGATTAACCACATAGTTTTAAACTAGTTCTTAGATTTTACTTCTGGGCAAAAGCTATAATTTAAATTCCAGCACGAGAGACATTCAGCAGCTTTCCATTGTCTCTACCTGTATGTATAAATGTGTGCACAAAAATACGGACCAACGAACCTTATGTTACATATGCGTAGTTTAACACTGCATCCGAGCAAGAATTAAACATTCATTTTTATTACGTTTCAAGAGAACACGGCCAAAGCAAGTGCTTTTATTTTGCAGGCTCGTATATTTTATTTACAAAACTTGCTCGCCATTGCATTGGCTACGTCGTTACTAAATTAAACCTTGATGTGTTTTTATTTTGTTTCAAATTTCCTCTATTATGAGAATAAAATGTATTTCGTTGTTCTCTGCAAGTTGGCTTGGTGGTTTCTGCATCGTGATGCTGGTTCAAAAACTTTTTTTTATGGAATCAGCCGGTAAACGAGCAGACGGATCACCTGATGGTAAGCAATCGGCGTCGCCCATGGACACTAGAACACCAGAGGCGTTACAAGGGAGGGGGGGGGGGGTTAATTGGCATCCGTTTCACGTCGGTCTTCTATGAGGCCGTGGTATCACTCCGGTCGAGCCGGCCTACTCATGCCGAAGCATGGCTCTCCCACGCTTATGAACACCCACACTTAACTCGAATTTTATTGAGTTTTTAGGTAAGTCAGAAGTAAAACTAGAATGTTTATCTACTGTTGGCCAACGCAGGCGTAGGTTCAAACTAGAGCTTCGCAGGTACATTTGCAAACCTGCAACAGACGTTTACATTGCTCTTGATATTAATATGTTCCAGGTTCGGTTTTGGACACAGATCCACAATCTGTAGTCGTTGATAGATACAATATTATTTGCGAGATTTAAACCCAAAACACGTTGCACCATAAAATGATCGAGGTTATTAGATTTAAAAAAAAAACAAAAATTTCTTTGTTTTGTTTTATACCTATTACATAAAATATTATTATATTTTTTTACAATTAGTATCTAAAAGACACATCTGAATATATTTTAATAGATATATAGCTATGTACATAAAAATACAAATATTTCGCTTTTAAACTGAGAAAGCATACAGGCATACTTGTATCTGATACTTTTAAATTATTGTTGATTCCTTACAAACTTTTCTGGATGGAAACGAAGAGGAACCGAAGAAAAGAAGAATCGTCTTGTGAGGAACGAGATAGGAAAGAAAAATAAGTATGTAAGTACCTAAACGCTTACGCAGACCGGGACGCCACGGCAAGAGATTTAAATGTTTGATAATAGCAAATAGATTCACTTTTAATTTTTTAAATCTCTATAGGTTTAATTGAAATAAATGATTTTGACTTTGACTTTGAATGGACATTCAAACGTATTTATATAAAAAAACAACATACATTGCTCTGCTTTATAAATGCCGCCATGGCATCGAAAAGGATTTCCTTCACGCTAAGGGTTGCCGCGACGGGATGCCGTGGTATACCGCAGTAGGCAACGACATGCCAAGGACCCTGACACTCGTTGTTTGATACCGCGAGGTAGCAACAAAATCCCTTGCCATACCGTCCGCCAGTCAGTCATGAAGATTGAAAAGACAAAAGAAAATAATGGACGCACGTTGCGTAGCGTCGATTCAAAGTATTAAAAAAATCCTATTGTCCACGTCAACCGCACTTCATACATTGATTGCACGATGAATTATTGCATATTTGTAGGTTGCACGCATTCGTCACATGACGCGTCGTATATACTAGGCCTAACTAGACATAACGGTACAAAGAAGACATTAATGACTTAATATTAGACATCTTCTCAAAAACATTACATTGCTGTAAACTTAACATAATGCATGTCGTATAAAAATATTTGTATTAATCTCAATGTATAACACTCATTTTCTGTGATCGTTTGTGGGACAGTGAGGTTCTCCGTTATCATCGCACGAACATTCTACACACGGCATACCACTTGACTTCGGATAAAATTTCGTATTCGGCTTACATTTGCTTGCTCCATCTGAAAACAGTCAAGAGAAATAGTGTTAACGGTGTTTTACACTCTGTCATGTCGAGTAAAATAATATCTAGCGACTTGCTGTAATGCAGTGTGTATTGACACCAACGCTTATGTATGGTAGTGAATCATGGGTGTGGCAGAAGAAGCATGAAAGCAGGATTAATGCGGTGGAAATGAGAGCCAGGACAAGTATATGTGGACTAAAATTGAGTGATCGAGGAAAAATAGTGTTATTAGAGAAAGGTGTGGATTGAAAGATGATGTAGGGACAAGGATTGAAAAGAGAATGTTATGCTGGTTTGGACATGTAAAAAGGATGGATGAAAGTAGAGTAACGAAAGAAGAAGAACGGATATGAATGGGGCCGTCAGTAGAGGGCGCCCTAGACGGACATTTAGTGACCAGATTGGCTATATATTAAAGAAGGGCCAAATTAAAAGTACCCTTAACCGACGAGCATGCATGAAAAAATTGATGACTATTGATGATGCGAAAGAGGTATGTAGGAATCGTAGTAATTGGCGTTCCCTAGTCTCTGCCTACCCCCATGGGAGACAGGCATGAAGTTATGTATGTATGTAGAAAGAATTACTACTTTGCTTGAATAATAATTCCATTTTCTAGACCTAAGCAATAAGTTTTGAAATCTCTTTTTTACTTTCTATAATAAATTAACTGTAAACTTTATTAAAATTCCAATAAAAACTTAAATAATATTAAAATTAAAATCTTTTTTTATTAAAATAATAAATTAATTTAATTAAATTTACTTGCTACGAAACTATTTGTCGTTTTGTATACAAATACATATAGATTAATAAAATTGGAGTGTGTAATATAAAAATATCCGTATTTTATTACATGCATATGACTATAAATACGATGCACATACCAAAATAATATTTTTTTAAATTTTGGTTAGTCTGTATGCACTAACCTGGCTCTGAAAAGACTCGGCTGGGTTTGACGGAACTTATTTGCAGGTAGTTAATGTACTAAAGAGTAACATGGGCTACTTTTACTGTGGAAAATTGTAACAATAATTAAAAGTCTCACTTCATTTTAATTTTTTAGCTTTTTTTTTTTTGTTTTTTTTTTATTTTTTAAATAATTATGTTATGTGTGTTTTGCGCAGAAATAAATGGCATTTCTTTCTTTCTTTCTTTTCTTTCTAAAAAAATATCTAAAACCCAACTACGACAAAAAACGACGCTGTAAATGTATAAAACAAGATTTTCAGAATACTGAACTGAACAAAGTTACTAATGTAGTTGAAAGTAAATGGACACAATAAACTCTATCATTCTCATACCTTCGTTGTAAATTGACAATAATGTCGTACAATACTATTACAATATTATACAATATTCACTATGTAGAAAAAAAAATTCATGTTTGGAAACTCTCAGTCACAAGTTGTCAAAGTGCTACGGTAGGTTTATGATATATGTAACGTGTGATTAAGCCTGTCATACATACTTAGCCTGTCAAAATCATAACCCTCCTTTTGCTTTGCCGTTGTCGGGTAAAACGAAAGTTATGTCCTAAAATTCATATTCTACGCGGACAAGGTCGCGGGCAACAGCTTATCACTAAGTTAAGTTCTCAGTTTATTGAATAAATATTTTTAACAACAAAGTCTTACCATAATAATGAACATTACGCATATCGCACTCTTTCGTCTTGGTACATTCATGTTTGCCTTTGTCGTTACATTTGCAGTCATGACAATCACTGGTCCAGCTAGTTCCTGGTTTACATGTTTGGTACAAGAAACTCGAATCTGAACATTCTTTAGGCAGTTTTTTGTAGGTATTGTAGTATTGAATAATTTCCTTCGTCTTTTCCTCATCGAAGAACTCTGTGAACACAGCTTAGTAATAAAGTAATCCAGGTAAACCTGTAGCTTAATGTACTGAGTAAGTAATAATAAACCCATTACCTTTCCCTTTATCTATCTCTTCATCCATCGGTGGAACATGTCCTGCACAATTTGAACCATCACATTCAGGAATTCCGTCGGCATTACATTCACAAGTATAACATGCGCCCATGTTGAAATGCGTAAATGGCTTGCACATCATTGGTTCATCTAGGAAACACGGTTAAGTTATTAGATTTCCCCACTACACTACAATACAATAAGTAATCCAAAATTAAACAAAAGCGTTACATACCCAACGGTCTCGGGACGCAATCAGGAATTTTAATACAATACGCGTGGCCTGACTTACATCTACACTCGTGGCAATTTTTAAGCCATACTGTTCCATCTCCGCATTCTTCTTTTTGATCTTTTAATTTATGTTTAAACATATGATTAGGCTTTGGATTCGAAAATCTTGATTGTATGGGTTTGGTATCACCATCACCTTTAAACATATGGTTAGGCTTTGGATTCAAATAACCTGATTGTATGGGCTTGTCATCACCATCACCTTTAAACATATAATTAGGCTTTGGATTCGAATAACCTGATTGTATGGGTTTGTCATCACCATCACCTTTAAACATATAGTTAGGCTTTGGATTCGAATATCTTGATTGTATGGGCTTGTCATTACCATCACCTTTAAACATATGGTTAGGCTTTGGATTCGAAAATCTTGATTTTATGGGCTTGTCATCACTATCACCTTGACTTGTATTATCTACAGGCAGATTATTTACCAGAGCTAGCAGATCCAACGGATCTCCGTCTTGAAATTCTTGTAATACCTTTTGTAAATCTGGATATTTCGAATGAGAGGCGGCTGGTGTGCTTGACTTAAATTTAGCAGTTATGGTTATTTTATCATCTCCAGGATATGTCGTTGTTTCTAAAGCTTTTTCTTGAATATTATGTATTAATTTCAATAAATATTCTTCTACATCGTCATTCGTTACATTAATATTTGTTATATTGATGTCCAATGTAGGTAATTTAGAAAGCATATCGTAAATTCTTTGTACATCTATTTCGTCTTCAGGTTTATATTCATTTGCTGTAATTTTTTCCAGCAAAATTACATTACTTTTATTAGTATTATACAATTTATGGTTTAGTTTGTTAATGTCATCTTGATATTTAGCGAGTATTGATAATAAAACAGGTAAAAAGTCAACTTCGTCTAAACCACTGTCGTCAAATTCGGAATTATTAAGGTTTGGTTTAGTAAGACTTTTAATTAACAATATCAGTGATGGATACAATTTGTTCATATTTTTTGTACCGTTAACAACTGACAATAAATTCGCTAAAACATTTGAATTTAAATGAAGCAATTCGTTTTCCGATTCTGTTGGATTCCAAACAGTAGCCCTTCCATCTTCTAATTCGTTGTAATCATGGTTAAGTTTGGGTGTCGAGGCACTTTCAGATTCATGAATTTTATCTACCTCTTTTGGTGACCATGAATTGTTAAAGAATGGTTTGTATTCACCTATTTCTGGATTACGATTACGTGGTGAAACCGTTGTTGAAACGTGTGGTTTCCAAGGACTTTTATTTTGGTTTTCAACAGATTTAGATGTGTATGCACCGCCAGATCCATGATCATCAAAATTATAAGGTATTTCTGTTTCACTAATAGGACGTTTTGTGTGGGTTGTATCTTCAGTAGACTCCGATATGTACTCGAATCCGGTATCAAGTCCACGAATATTAAAATCTGGATTATCCGTTGAACTCGTATTAGGGTGTGGATGTTCACTTAAATTATTTGAATGAGTGATATCTTCGGAACTGGGTGGGTAAGTGAAACCCTCAGTGGTATCATCAAGTACATCCGAACTATTTTCTTTGTGAGGTATCTTATATATATTTTGTGGAGAATTGTGTTCAGGAAGAAAATAATCACCATTTGACCCAGGATCATCAAAGTTCCCTGATGTATTTGGATTTTCTTGTAGTGGTGGTGAATGAGGATCATTATATTCTTTAATGTTCGGATTTTTTCCACTGTCAGTATATTCTAAACTATTTTCATTTGAATATGGTTCAAACGGTAGTTGTGGAGGGGTATGTAAATTATCTAGGGTATGATTATCAACATCAAAATCAAATGGCTCATTACTGTCAATATTTTCTGATATTTGTTGGTCCTTTGTTAATTCTAAGTGTTGATTTTTATTTGTGTAGTTATCAAAACTTTGTGGCTCTTGCGGATCTGGAAGTGACTCAACCGCTTGTGATGGAGGTGAATATGCAAATGCAGGCGCAGAATTTCCTGATATTCCAGTTGTAGGTTGATCCAATGTTGGTGGGGATTCTGCGTTAGGTGGATGATTTCCTGGACTTGGCAAATACTCTGAATTCATAGGGTATTGGTAATTATCATAGGTCTTGTGATGGTCCAATAAACCAGGTATAGGGTGAGACTGTTGAGGTGAGGGAGAATCAATAGCTTCAAAATTGGGGATTGGATATTTATTTTGTTTTTTATTATTATGGATTGCTTCTTGGAGATCTGGCCGCTGATGTAGCTGTCCATCTGTATAACTATTGGGATTTTTGTTAGCATTATTTTGATGTTGAGAATTTGGATACTGATTAGGATTTATTCGTGGAGGGTATTGTTCTTGATTGTAGTTGGGTGTTTGATTTATAAATCCTTTTGGATTTGATGGGCCTTCTGGTAGTGGTAATGGGTGTTGTAAGCCAACAACATTGATATTTTCAGGGCTTGGCTGTAAGTGTAGGGGTTGATTAATATTTCTTTCTGGAAGATGAGTGTGCAGAACAGTATTAGCATGATTTGGCAAATCGACCGAACGCGGTGTACCACCATCTCTTGGTTCATGATGGTTATAATAATACGGAGTTTCAAGATGAGGTTGTGGTTTTTGTATTGATTGTGGTTGATTGGGATTGAAATGCGATGGATTTTTGTGTTTTTCATGATGGTTATAATAATATGGAGTTTCAAGATGAGGTTGTGGTTTTTGTATTGGGTGTGGTTGATTGGGATTGAAATGCGATGGATTTTTGTGATTTTCATGATGGTTATAATAATATGGAGTTTCAAGATGAGGTTGTGGTTTTTGTATTGATTGTGGTTGATTTGGATTGAAATGCGATGGATTTTTGTGACCCACATGTGGATTATTCCAAGAATGTCTAGGCCTATGGTGATATTGTATCCGAGATTTTTCACCCTCTTCTGATACTGGTAAATTTTGCTTTTGTAAAGGATATGGCAAGTTATTAGGTAGTCTATTGTGATGTAAAGGATTTTGGTTGGCATTATCGGCATGTAACAAATTGTCATTTGGCCTGTGATTTACTGAGCCAGGTAAATGTGTGTTCTGAAAATGTCTCGATGGAGTTGAATGTGGTTTTTTATCAGGATTCACAACTTGTGACGGTTCAAATTTTAACCGGTTTTGGGGATCCTTTTCTAAAGGAACTCGACCGGGAACAGGGTTAGTAGGATCAGGATTCGAATGAGCTGTTTGCGACTGAGTTGGAGGAAATTTCATTTGAGACTCTGCAGGATATAGTGTTTGGCCAAGAACATTTGGATACGAAGCAGTTAGAGGATTAATTTCACTACTTTTGAGGTCAGACGTCATTTGGTGACTTCTAGGAGGCACATAATTTTTGTCAATATATAATTTGTTCATACCACCGGATTGGTTATACTTGTGTACCACAGGCATTGCAGGTGAAACATTAGTTTGTTGATAATGGTCTATAAATTCCTGCGCGTCATCGGAAGAGTGATGATTCAATTTTTCATTGCTATAGGTTTCTTTTATTTTTGTAACAACTACAGGCATATTATTTTTAACAGTGGTTTGTTTGTTCGGTATGTAGTTAGGTTTAAACGAGTCGTGACGAACTTGCAATTTACCATTTAGGAATGGATCTAATTCTGATAGGTCAGTGACAGTGGTATGTTCTCCGTGTTGAGACTGGTCATAGTGTCTAGGTTCATGAGGTAGTGGAAGTTTTTTGTAGTTTACAGTATTGTGATAAACGGGATGAGGTTTTGGACTATGAGTAGTGTGCGGAATCGTATAACTGCTTTTAGGTTCTATTTGGCCAGGACTTGGATTAATATCTGTTGTATAATGTGATGGATAAACATTACTTTCATCATCATTTACATTTTTAATCTCATTTAGATGAATTTGAGGAGAATTTGGTGGAAATTTAGTTGTTTGCTTGTATCTGTTATTTAAACTCACTGGTTCACCACGTGAAGATTGAAAATTCTCGTCACTTGAACCCACCCATGTGAATTGTTTGAATTGTTTAACCGAATTATTTGACAGATCTCTAGGTCTTTGTTGATTATTTGGCAAAGAAAGAGGCTGTGGACTAGAGTTAATATGCGATTTATATCTATTGGCTCCAGAATTGCTTTGCGTCTTTTGGACTGTCATCTTGGACATGTTTGGATCAAGTTGTTGTACATTATGGTAACTATCTTTATCTTGCCTTGGTTTGTATCTTGAGCTCAACAAAGTATATGTGGTAACAGGCACGAGATTCGGCTCAGTAAGGCGGGATAATACCTGGTTAGGTAATGTGTGAGTGATGTGTGTTGGTGATGTGAATTGTTTAACCGAATTATTTGACAGATGTCTAGGTCTTTGTTGATTATTTGGGAAAGAAATAGGTTTTGGGCTGGTGTTAACGTGCGATATATATCTATTTGCTTCAGAATTGATTTGCATCTTTTGGACTGTCATCTTGGACATGTTTGTATCAAGATGTTGTACATTGTGGTAACTATATCTATCTTGCCTTGGTTTGTATCTTGAGGTCAACAAAGTATATGTAGTAACAGGAGCGAGATTTGGCTCAGTTTGGGATAATACCTGGTTTGACTTGCCATTTCCAAAGTCATTTCCATTGTCATTAACATTGCCATTACCATAGTCATTGCAATTGCCATTGCCATTGCCAATACCATTACCATAGTCATTGCTATTGCCATTACCACAGTCATTGCCATTGCCATTGCCATTACCATTACCAAAACCATAGGTATTGCTATTGCCATTACCATAGTCATTGACATTGCCATTGCTATGGTAAATGCCATTGTCATTGAAATCCCTTTTCCCATTTCCATTCTCATTGCCATTCCCGTTGCCATAGACATTGCCATTGCCATTATCATTACCATAGTCATTGCTATTGCCATTACTATTACCATAGTCATTGCTATTGCTATTACCATAGTCATTGACATTGCCATTGCTATGATAAATGCCATTGCCATTGAAATCCCCATTTCCATTCCCATTGCCATTCCCATTGCCATTGCCATAGACATTGCCGTTCCCATTGCCATTGCCATAGACATTGCCGTTCCCATTGCCATTGCCATAGACATTGCCATTGCCCTTGCCATAGCCATTGCCATACTCAATGCCATTGCTATGGTAAATGTCATTGCCATGGAAATTCCCATTCTCATTGCCATTGCCATTGCTATGGTAAATGTCATTGCTATGGACATTCCCATTCTTATTGCCATTGCCATTGAAATTGCCATTGCCATAGTCATAGTCATCACCATTTCCATTTATCGAGTTTTGATTTGATTGGATCGCTATGCTTGTTGTGTATGGATTTTGTGGTGCAATCTGATAGGTTTCATATTCTGGACTAGGTTCATACGCTGAAGTTATCAAACTGTAATTAGAAGTAGGTTTGACAAACGAGTCATCGTATTTACCGCGTGTCTCATATTGCAGCGCTTCATATTGATCATTATGATTTGAGTATGGTCTGCCATTGTTGACATTTATCGGGTGCGGAGTTAATTGTAATGCTAAATTTTCCGAATATGAATTCCCCGTTGGTGTCGTAACCATGATTCGAGGTGGAGTCATGCCATGCTCTTGACCAAAATGATCGAATTTATTTGAATCAGTAACGATACCATGTTTCTTAATAGTTATGATTTTTGAACTATCTTGGTTTTCTAACAAATTGCTCTCTTTACCTTCATGAGAATACATTTCAAATAGATTTTTATTAACAATAGGCGGTGGAGATGCGACTGTGTGCCAATTTCTTTCACGGTGAGTCATTATTGGCGTGACAGTCACGTGGTTCTGCTTTGCCAAATGTTCAGGTATTACTAATATTGTTTCATTACCCTGAGAACCTGATGTTATTATTTTACTGGTTTGCGTAACTGGAACCTCTTGTACATCATATGAATTCTTTGTATTTAAATTAATTTTGTCACCGTTAGTTGATGCTAAATGATGAGCCTTTTGGTATAACAATTTGTCTCCAATATCAGCTAAGGCTGGGCTGTGCAGGCTGGTGGCTAAAGCTTTAAGTAATTTGGAAGTATCTTTGGATATTTTTCCAGAATGGACTTTTATTTCTTGTTGAAAACCATTATATGCATGTGTGCGTACCAGTTTCGATGGCTTTTTTTCGTGGCTCTTAAGTAAAACATCAACAATTGGTTCTACTGATAACTGTTTATCAAACTCTTTAAGTTGACTACGTTCATTCTTTTCTTCTTCCGCTGTTATAAATCTTGTTTTTTTTTTTTTTATCTCTTTATTTTTAAAATTTTAGGGGGTTTTTGTCCATATGGATACGTCAACCCCATCGTACCTTATCTAATTAAATATACTCTGTAAATGAAAGGGAATCATTAACAAGGTATGAGATAAATAAAAGAAAAGCTATGTCACTCTCACCAATTCACATAATCCCTTTGCGATCTTCGTTTTT